TCAGGCAGAGATGGAAGAAGAAGAGTTGACATTTTGTCTTTATTCTTCAGACCTACTTGTTTGCCTATAGCAAAATTAAAAGAATTGTTGTGAACTCGATGATGAACTTAAAAGTCAAAAAGCTAGGCCGACGGTTAACGAAAATACCACCACCTCACCCTAGTTGCGATATCGAACGGTCAGTTGGGCGACAATTCACGTTCCATAGATCCCCATGGCGACCATTTTAGACGTATTTTTGATTCCTTATCCACAGAACACTAGTGTTCCGCGGAACACAGTTTAGGAAACGCTGCGCTAAATACGCCGCTAGTTGAGATAAGCGTGGCTTACATATTTAACCCTTACATAATACAGCCCACTTCACTGAAGGATCTCGTCTAACATAGGGGTGTGCAACGTTTAATACAGGAGTGACAGATAGAAATAACTGGATGAAAACGCGGGCGCACCGCAACGAAGGCTTTCTAGTAGCAGGCACAAACATTTTGGGTATTAACCTGGTCACATACGTTTTTTGCACAAGCTAGCTGGTAAGGTATTGTAAAGTAATAGTAATGGATATTAAATTGACTCAGGTATAGGCTTCGCAACGCAAAGGGATTGGAATTACTTGCACATAACGGGATTAAATTGAAAACTCGTTTCACGGGCCGCGCACCATTCAAAATTAGCACATCTCCGCAGATCGCACAATTTTTCCTTGAAGGCCGCATTTGGCCCCCGGGCCGCAGGTTGGCACACCCCTGGACTTCATCAAATAAAGGACAATGAGTAGCTAGTATGCGAAAGACATGCACAATAGTCATTGCAGTTTATAGGTTGATGATGTGTGCTGTTTTTTGCTGTTCTTCTGTAAGTCTTTTGGTTTCCATATGTTGTACATAGCAACGCCTCTAGGTATCTTGACGATAGCCCAAAGAGACACCACCCTCCATCAAGTCCTTGCATTTGAGAAATACTGGTTAACTACTCCGGTACCAGACGTGGGTTCGAAGTCAGCCAAGTTCGAAGACTAGCCAAGAGCCCCCCGTAGTATTTATAGCTAAAATTATGGCCTTTTGTTCCTATTTTTATGTTACATTCCTGTATTGTTATATATATAGCTATAAATTCGGCGTGCTTTTCTGTAATGAAGGAACCTGGTATTAGTAAGTGAAGTTGTGGGAGGAGACTTGGAACCTCTTTAGCCATAAGAAATGTGGCAGGATTGCATAGGAGAAACGTCGTAGAGATCTGAAATTACAGCTGACGATTAGACTTTCAAAAATTCAAGTGACGTCGCGTCACAGAGTTACAGGGTAAAGTAATTAGTGCGAAGAATTAAATGTGAGTTCAAAAGAGCAATTGGTGAATAAATATCGTGTTTACTCGCCTGTTTTCCAAGTTCACGTATCTGAAACGTTCGCTAAAATTGAGTGGATGGGAGGATAATTTTGTGCGAGAAAATAAATAGACTTCCCGCCGTTCACGTGAACGCTGGTTGGTTACGGCTTTGTCTGCCATCAAGTCCGTGCATCTGAAACAAATAACTGAAACTGATCTCATACGCGACATGGACTGGAAGGTTGTCCGCGGTCGTCTGATGATATCAAATTTTAGTCACCAGGTGTGCTATTGGGCTATTAATTTGTGGAAATTGCTTTCTTTTTTCTTTTTTACTTCGACGATGCTCATGTCGATCTTCATTCGCATTTGGCTGTCGACTCATGGGCTTCTGGTTCGCTGTTTGCGCTTTTGTGTGAGAAATTTTTTATTTTGTTTATATTTGATGGTATTTCACAGCGTTGTTTCACAGATTTTTATTTTTTTTTGTGAATGCGTGTTGTTGAGCGGACACATGATCGACTCATCTTGTTTTAAACTTTTTTAAAGGTTTCAATCGCTCTCCGGAATTCTCCATTTTCAATTTGTTTGTATAGTCAGATTGTGGAGTTTTAAAATAAAATAAATAAATAAATCTCAAATCTATCGGTATTACAGAACAGCGTAATGAAATACCTCAGTACTGTAGGTGTTATACAGTTATATCAGTTCAGTGACGGTAGCAATCTTACTTATCCTATTCACAGGATTCGGGGATTCCAGCTATTTACCATATTTTAAAATTTAATACTAATTGAAAACATGTTTATACCGCACCATGTTTCAAATATAACAATCAATACATAATTGACAGCTTGACGCATGAATTCCGCAAGCTGGTGTAAAATTGAAGGCTTTAATCTCATTAATGGAAATGACCATTTATTTTCGTGCAGGTTATCGTAACTATTGATTACGCGTCCTGAATTTTTGAAAAGGTCGGCGTAAATTATTCATGGCCTCCCATCACCGCAAAAAAAGAGAGATGAATCGTGTTGTCAACGGATGTTTTATATATCATGTATTATTGTTGGTTATCAGTTGAGTGTGAAATAGGATATGGATTTCTGTATTTATGATTGAGGAAAGATAAGACAGCTGAATTACAGGCTTTAGAATGACCAAAATAATTTCAGAGCGAGGGGTGTTCAACCCCTTTTGAATGTGAAAAAAATCATTCAATGTAGCATACATAGCAATTTTTCATAGTTTGAAATGTTTTTTAGACCCGCAAGACTCTAGAAAACTCGGGTCTCATGTAGTTTCTTACCTAACATACTTCTAGTGGGCGTAGCATGACAATTTTTTCACGTATCAATCCTAACCCCACCCTGACTACACCATTCACCACCGTCACAGTGACGTAATAGAGCTCTTCTAACTATACGAACTGCCATCCAAGACGCGCAAACGAGCACCCGAAATCGAACAGTTATTTCTCTCGTTTTCTCGTCGCAACGATTCCAATAGGAGAGAGACCGATAATGTCAGTCAGTTCTTTATCGTGGGCGTCAATGCCATTTCGGTCGATCGTGCGTATATTTGGCAAGCTCTGACGTGATTGTGATGTCGTAGTGATTTAATTTTTGGATGGCGTAATCAGATGGGGGTTAGGATTGATATATCAAAAAATTGTTATGCTACGCCCACTAGAAGTATGTTAGGTACGAAACTACACGAGACCCGAAAACTCAAGTTTTCGGCTTTCGGCCAGACCCGTTAGCTGATATGGTCTAACTTGGCAATTAGAAACTTAACCTTCCTCCCCTTTAGAATTCGCAGCTATGAGCATTAATTGGTGTTAAGTAGAAATTACAAACCTATGGTCAAGTCAGTCATAGGTCAACCAAGTTTCGAGTCAGAATCACTGGAGTCTGGAGCATTCCATCTACAGGGGTGGTGACACCTCTACGGCCCATGGGCTGGAGCCACGGCCCATCTGATTGGGCCACATGGGCCATGGCCCATCAAGCTATGGGCCGCGTTCCCATCAGGAAAAATACAATTATCTTACCAAAATTTTCAAAACTGTCAACATTCGGATAAAAAAAATCGCTGTATGCCACAATTTTCTTAAAGTAAAAGTAAAATACCAAGCTACAGAAAAGGATACTCTTGTAGTATGTGTACCAGGTTAGAGTTAGGACAAAATTTTGTTCAGATTTTTCACGTTATTGTTTTATTATGAGTTTGGGGACTGTCTCTGTTAGCCAAGTGAATAGTCCCGTTGCACAACTTGATGGGACGCCGCCCATAGCCTGATGGGCCGTGGCCCCGGCCCATGGGCCGTAGAGGAGTCACCACTTTCATTCCCATTTAGGTTACTTGAGTGATCGAGTCTTTCGCAAATGGATCCTACTAAACCAGGGTGGTCCAAGGTTGACAGCCTCGCGGGCCACACTATTATTTCTGTATTGTCCGCGGGCCACAATAGTGCCAAGAATAGGTGAATAGTGTATTACAGCGCTTCCCAAACTATAGGTCGCGACCCACTGGTGGGTCGCAAAAGGAATCTTAGTGGGTCGTAAAAAGATGTATAAAGCTTTGATCAATTGTACTGGTTATTGGGATCGGTGGCGACTCGAATAGTAAATCTTCAAAAAAACGAGAGAAATTAAATTGAATTTAAATTCTAATCTGTGAAAGTTTCCTTGTCCAAACACATTGATCTTTATTTGTCATTTACCAAGCTAGAACATTCAAAAATCAAAAAATTCATTAAAATGTGCAAAAATCTTACTAAATCTACATTTACTACAGAAGGTGTCATAAGGAGAAATTCCCTTTTCAGACTCTCGACAACACAACTTGCAGAGATATCAAGCAAGCGGTATTTTTCCTCCCATTATTCAGTCAGAAATCTGTTTAAATTGGTCAGCTTCTTTTCAAACCCATGTTTACAGAATAACTTCAAATTGATTGATTGCAGAATTTCATCAAATTTGGAAGGGTAATTACTAAATTCTCTTACTTATAGGCAGCATTACTTGTAATACAGTTTAGGCTGGTTGCAAAAAACATCCGGCAATAATTGTATTCTTTGGCTATAACATTACTATTTAGTTATCAGGCATATCCGACCTAGGCTAATAGATTCATCATTCGATTTTTAGTTTTTTATGAAGCCTCTTTTGTTAGCAGTCCCGACCAAAAGATAGGAAGCCAATAAACAATTTAGACTAGCCAAGCACATTATTTAACTTTGTCAGTTGCCTCAGCTAACCATGACAGTAATCAATTCAGAGACACTAGTGGTGTAACAATATGTCAAAAGATTTTTCTGATTATTTTTATGGCGAAACAGCACCAAATGCAATTTTTTGTTTAAATTCCACAAATGTGACGCGGGCCACAGATGATGAAGCGGCGGGCCACATATGGCCCACGGGCCTGGGTTTGGGCCACCCTGTACTAAACACTGCCAATTAGCAGCAATTAGCAGCTAATTGTGATGCAATTATTCAACCAGTTAAGCTTAAATAAATCATGGTGAGGGGGTCGAAATGATGATTTCACGAGTGGAAAATAACAGCACTGTCATTATTATGTTAGGTTTATTCTTACTAGTTACATATTAAAATTTTTCTGAATAACCCAAGTAAAACTTCAATACCTTTTCCTATAAATACAGATATTTTAGCGTACTCTCTAACTAGTTATTAGAATTCCATTATGCTGAACTAACTGAAAAAAGAGCAAAACTTTGAATTTTTTTTTTTCAAAGTCAATAGAGAAACATCATTGTGCAATATCAAAGAAATTCTGCTACGATGTCTTCTGCAGTAACCGCCACTTTGAAACTCATACTTGGTGCAATTTTTATATTTCAACACACGGACGCATATTATGGGTACGACCCCCGTTTTTTAAACACTTTTTCATCACTCCGAAGCGACTTACGGAACAAACGAAGCGGTTCAAGCATCGCTGAACAGGTGTATTATCAGGATTTATTAGCGCCATTTTATAATCGTCGGCAAACCGATTCTATTTGGAAGCGAAGCAAGCCAGACCCTCTTCCTACGTCTGATTGTAACGAACGAAGCAATATCCAATACACAAGCCCGAACACAGCGACTCTGGATATTCGATTCCCATCTGTTCATACAACCAAGGTAATTATTTTAGATTTGTTTTTTTAGGGGTAATTTTTTCAAGAGAAGGTCGCATGTACTCACTCAAAAGTTTAGAAGAGACACTCGTTCAGAAGTGAAAAAGACTCATCACTGAGCAATGTTACGGTCACTTGTGTAACCCTCGCTTTGCCATGTGACTATTACCATCTTCTGATCGCATGGCGATAGTACCATGTTGTCGCTATTTCTATTTCATCACAATACTTATATATAAACCTTGTATATTTGTCTTAAAAATCAAATCTGCTTTCTTTATCAAGAAGGCAATTCAAATGGTTTGGGTGGAGATAGGCGCGCAGCCAAGATTTTCAAAAGGGCATAAATAACATGGCACGTTGATGAAAACTAACGGCGATTTTAGCAGAAGGCAATTGTACGTGTTATCGGCAACTTTTTCACTTTTCAGAAAATTCAATTCACTTTTCAGAAAATTCAGTGGCTGCGCCACTGGGCGGAGATATTCCCTATTCTGACTATGATTTGCACTTTTTTTGCAGTGCACTCCTGTAAACCATATATCCATCCCCATTTCTAGCCCGCTGTCTATGTGGGAGGCTGTTTGAGTGGTAGTTAAAACCGGTGACCGTACATTTGAACCCACGTACATTTGAACCCATGCGTATATCCACGGGTTCAATCTATATACGGGTGCTAAAACCCATGGGTTAGGGTTAGTATGGGTTCAACTATCCGAAAAACAAAAAAACTTCCATAGGTGCAATAGCATCTGTTGTCATGGGTTCAAATGTACGTGGGTTCAAATGTAATGGAACCGTTAAAACCATTATGTCCAAACTTGAATTATAATTTTTTATTCAGGATGACACTTACCTCTGTACCGCTTACAAAGTTCCATTTCAAGGAGATGAAAGCTTCATAGGTGGGTTGTTCTACTTTGTTCCAAACCTATTTAACAGCTTCTGTATTTTTTATAATTTTCAAACATTATGTGAAATATATTTTGGGTTATAATTATCAAAATGATCATTTTCAAATAAACTGTTCTCAAATATTCTTTGAATCAAGAATTTAAATATCTAATAGAAATGGTTTTGAACAAATTCAAATTTACGATTCATTTTTAACATCTCTAGTTTCATTTGAAGAATAATCATTTTAACTGTGGTATTTGTCTTAATCTTACATTCTGATCCTGAATGTCCTTTGTGCTGCTGCTTTCTGGTTTGTTTCGTTTTCTCTGCTGTTGACTAATTCGTTAGTTGTAGTTTACTGATTTAGTTATATATTAGACTCTTGAAATTTAGACTCAGATAAAAAAACAATATATTAATCAGAAGTTATGGGCGGTATGAAATATAAAATCACTGTTTACCTTGACCTTATTTCATTTCAAAATCTATCGAATCTACAAAGACACTGTGTTTTCGAAAAATAATTTTTAAAACTGTAAAAATAGGGTAGCAATTGAATTATTGGGTGCTCCCGAAGTATGCGAACCAAGATGGCGGACATCGGAACGTAACATGGGTAACAGGTTAGGGTTAGGCGAAATTTTTTTTCCAATTTTCCTTATTTTAGTCCTATTATCAGTTCGAAGACTAGCCAAGAGCCTTCCGTAGTATTTATACCTAAAATTATGGCCTAACCCTAACCTAGTACACATATTACATTCCGATGTCCACCATCTTGGTTCGCACACTTCGGGAGCCCCAAATATTGTTTATTGAAAATTCATTGAAATTCAACAATTTGGAGTAGCAAATTAAAAATTTGAAAATATACTGAAAGTACAAATTTGGGACAACAATACCGCATTCTATAGAAATGGGTATATTCAGTCTGTTCAAACATTCCTTTCATCGGTGTGTTTAAACGATCTCTTGACCTTGAAGATGTGAGATTAAAGAATTTACTTCCTGCCTCACCCAAATCTAAGTACTTGAACTTACAGGTGGGGTAATTTCATTTACTAATAATGAGGTCAAACGCAGTGACCTAGAAATTCATAAATGATTTAAGCCAGAGGTTTGCAAACTTTTTGAGTTCATGATGCATTTCTTTTCTCTAATTATGTATCGGAGTGAAAATTTACTTTATTATTTAAATTTACTTTACTCTATATTAAATTATGACAAGTGATGGATTGATAATATAGAGGCACCCTCTATAATTTCACTGGGAATTAGGGTTTAATTAAACTGATCAAAACCATATATGACCTGTTTCTATAGAGTGTCCATACTTTCTATTGAATAACCATTTCCTGTGGTCATATATGATATTAATATTTGAGCAAAGGTAAAAGGGAAATTTCATTTACCGGTAATATTTGATCACTGTGAAAAATTTATTTGAACGGCGCCCAAGCATATTTCTTGCAATCCATTTTAAGTATTTGGTTATATAAATTTAGTAAATAGTTTAGGACACTCTCATTATAGTGGCCTCATTTGTGCTTATATAACATCAGCGGAATTTCATTTGCCTCTTTGACCTCGGCTTTTGAAATTTGACCCTCATGCTGACAGAAGTGAGGTCATGCATGTCAAGATAGGCTTGTGGGTGATTTCATAATCATTATAGGTCAGTGATTCTTAAACTTTTTCGAGCGCGACCCAAATCTGAGTTTTATGAATACTCGCGACCCAATCCTAAATAACGCAAAATGTGTTTTTAATGTTAGTACAGTTTGACTCAAATACAGACAACTATTTATTAGAAACAGTTCATTGACTCAGTGAGATTGATTAAAATGAAATTTCCTTTTCATTATATCTTCAATACATGGCTCTATTTTCCTTAACGCAATACGCAAGTTGTCACAGGTATCGAGGCGATTGCGAGCTTAGTTTTGATAACCGTCAGTGCCAAATATCCCCGCTCGCACAAGTGCCTTGTCGCGACCCATTTTTAAACCTTCCGCGACCCATGTTTGAGTCGCGACCCATACTTTAAGAACCACTGTTATAGGTCTTGTTTGCGGGTTCGGAAATATTTTCCGCCTGCTGTCATAGGTTAGAGTCAAATTATATAACTTCTTTTGAAATAGGAAGAATGTGTCAAAAAGTTGGGAAACATGACCTTAAGTAGTATCCCTTTGCTTAGCTATTTTCGCACACGACTGCAGGAAATTGTCGTCCTGTAGACACCAATCGCTTATGATTTTCAATTGGCTTTAATGAGTCTCGATATATTGTATTTCATTCAGTAAAGTGTTGATTCTTTGAGGTTTCAAAAGTCTCATATTCGAGGATTTTACTGTTTCGAATACATTCTGAGAAAAATATTTTTGAATGTGAAATATTGAATATGTTCCAATTGGGGAGATCATGTCGAAAATTACATAACACATCTAAAACGACATTTCATCTCCTCTTTGACTTTGGCTTTCCAAATTTGATCTCTATGATGCTGAGTCGTTGACATAAGTGCTGTCATGCATGTCAAGATAAGCTTGTGGGTGATATTGTAATCATCATGGCTCTGGTTCGCGGGTTTAGAAAAATATTTGCGGCTTTCCGTTAATAAAGGCTGATTGTGTAAGTTGGGGTATTGGTGGTTGGGGTTAGTGGTCTTTGCAGGGAAATTTAATATTTACTGTTCTTTGGATCATAAACCAGAATATATCATAAATCCCACTTCACACGCCAAGCACTTTTTTTTATCTCATTTCTTATTTATCTTTTTTCAAACACCTTAATTTGATTATTGGAATTCAGGACTTAAAAACATATTTTTCAAATTTTATTGAAATTAATTTTGTGCAACCATTACTGTGTTCAGATAATTGTAGCTGTTTTGGAGTCATTTTCAATTACAAAACACTGCTTTTTGAAACGCATTATTATATCATTAACTTTGACATTCACAGTACATGACAGACATTTAATAATTGGAAATTATTTTCGGTTTGCCATCATTACTATATTGTCATATAATTGTGCTTGTCTAAATATACTTTACGCAGTAAATCGGCTGTATGGAAGCGTTATTTTAGAGTTTCATTCAAACTAGCTTTAGTCAAAGTCTTTTGACAATACAATACATACTGTCCAAATAGTAGGCTATCCTCTTTTTCCTGAATGTATCGTGATGCTGCCTTTATTGGCTGTTTTCGAGAAATACGATATGAAATTCCAAATACGATACTTTTCGAAATTTTAAAAAGATTCCACAAGGGTCATTTTTGCTATTTCACACTCTTAGACTTACACTTTATGACCTTTCGAGCAGGACTGGAAAGTCTGGCTGTGAAAATATTTATTGTTTCCATTACCTGAATTTAGTTCGTATGGCCTAACATTTGAAAATAAGCCGTTATCATAGGTCGCTGAAATCTATTAGTTGACTATTTTGACTGGTTCCATTACATTTGAACCCACGTACATATTGCACCTATGGATTTTTTTTTGTTTCACGGATAGTTAAACCCATACTAACCCTAACCCATGGGTTTTAGCACCCGCATATAGATTGAACCCGTGGATATACGCATGGGTTCAAATATACGTGGGTTCAAATGTACGGTCACCATTCTGACTATATTCTTATTAAATATTATTTCTGAATATCAAATATTGTATTTTCGGTCGTGTTCGAAAAAAAGTTGCAGAAATCATTGTATATTGAAAAAATTGTGATTTAGTAAAGCAGCACAGTTGAAAGAAACATTGCTTTGAATGATTTACCTATTTAATACAGTGTCATACCTAAAATGAAGTTTAAATTTTGTCTGAACATTAGACATGGAATGGTTATATTGATAAACAAGAGAATGGATATGTTCTAAACTCCCTTGATATCATAATTATATCTACTGGTACTAGGATATTGTCTCCTTGCTTACTTCCTGTTTTGAATCCATATGTGTCAGTTACCAAAAGTATGCTTGAACGAGATAATATTATAGAGATATATAAGAATACCATAATCTCTTTCCCCAAAATATTCTGTACCACGATATTGTGCGCTGAATTGCAAGTCCTTTCTTTTTGCCTATATTCTACCTCAGATCCGTATGTGTCACTTGTCACTGCTTGAACGAGATACTATTATGAAGATAGTATATCGTAATATGATTTTTGTTGGAAGAGATTATGCTATTCTTTTTTATCATATATTTACTATATCTAATACATAATTTTGATTATTTTGAATATTTGATCCATTTTAGAGTCCCTAGTTATTGCTTAGCCACCATTACTAAATTACTATATGGCCAGATAATTATTATAGTTAGTCTGCTTTTTCAAGTTTTTTTAATAAGTCACGTACCATTGACGTACTGACCTTAATAATGACGCTCAAAATAGAATTTCAATTTACGGAGTAGTTTCTCTAAACTTGTATCGGGGCCAGAAATAGTGTTGCATGTAGACATGGCTGTTGAAATGAATGGAATGTTAAAAAAAACGTTTGGAACATCTTTCAAAGAAAACATAACTTTGTGAAAAGCATCTTAGTAGGTTCCAGTGCAAATCTAAAGTTTGTAAATATACAGGGTGTCAATAAAATTCCTTTACAATTCCAATTTTGTTATGGAGTCGGTTCTCAATATATCTTAACCAGGTTTGTTGTTTTTTATTAATCAGTAATTGTTCAAGTATTTTTACTTCATTTCATTTAATAAAACATCTGTGTGGGTCAAAACAATATATGGTATCGATAAATTCCCTTTGCTATTTAAATTTTTTTATGGATACCCTATATATTTACTTCTATGTATTATATGTTAATAAGATATGTTATTATTTGTTCAGAATGTATTCGATATTCCATTTTCAAAAACACCTGTATTATCTTGAAATTGATGATTATTCAATTTTGCCATCCCCTGGAAAAATTTCTCTCTCTTGGGCAAACATGATTGACATTTACAACAGGTGCTAATTCCAATGAAAATCAATATCCATGTCAAAATGATTGAAAAGTAGATTCAGGAGAAATATCAACGGGATGTCTGTTTTCATGATCAGTTTTTATTTATTCGTTTTATCAATCATTTTTTTGCCTGTTATCCTGATTATGGAGTCAGAATTAACTTATACTTATAATATGTATATTCCTGAATATTAAATATATTCATTAGTCACAAATTGAGTTGTTTTAACTGGCAAGATATGCAGAGTTATAAAAAAACTAACCCATGAAATTCCTGATTACGGTACTTCTAGCATTACTAAGGAAACTTGGATATTGTGTATTGAACTGCAGGTCCTTTCTCCTTGTTTACTTTCTACTTCGGATCCGTATGTGGCACTCACCACAAGGATGCTTGAACGAGATAGTATTCAAGTGAAAAGTGAAAATAACATGATATTTGTATATTTGTGAGCTTTCGTTAGACAAATATACTTACTATTTCGTTGAAAGAGATCATGTTATTTTTACTTTTTAATTCCAGCATAATACAAAAATTATTGAACACTTGAACTTTTGTTCGAGTATGATTGTATCCACAAGTTTCAGTAATCTAGCACACTTTGTGCTTAGGTTGTATAATTTCTAGAATTCGTTCTAAATGACAAGTCAGTTTGGCAACCTTTTTTTTTGAGTTATAATAAACTCAAATTATATGTGAGGATGTACAGCAATAAATCAATTTACGCATGAGAGCAAGTGCTTAATAATTATTCCTAATCAATAATAACGATCAATGTTTTATTTAATCATTCTCTGGGGGTTTATTAAATCAGGGATGTCAAAACGAATTGAATATACGATAAATTGAAAAGTCATACAGGGTGTCTCAAAATAAATGAAACCCACGAAATCGGTAATAGAGTTTCATATAATTTAGGAAACCCTGTATTTGGAATAATTCAAGAGTCTTGCTGCACACTAACACAAATATGTTTCTGTATTGGTTACTGATCGGAAGTAGGAAGTAAACAAGCAGAAATAACCTGCAGTTCAATACACAATAACTCATAATACAAGGTGTCCATAAAGTTCCTTTACAATTTCAATTTTGTTATGAAGTCAGTTCTCAATATACAGGGTGTCCATAAAGTTCCTTTACAGTTTCAATTCTGTTATGGGGTCATTTCTTAATATATCTTAATAATCAGGTTTGTTGTTTTTTAATCAGTAATTGTTTTCAAAGTATATTTACCTCGTTTAATACATCTGTGAGGGTCAAAACAATATATGGTGTCGATAAATTCCCTTTGCAATTTTGAATAATTTAAACACTTTATGGATACCTTATATAATCTGAATTGTAAATAAATGCCAGATGGTGAATTGATTTTCTGATATTTGCCCGTTTGTTTTGAAGAATGAGATTTAGTAAAATGTTAATTTAACGTCAATCGTATGAATAAATAGATTTTAAAATGTCAGCTAGGCAATTACTGTAATTCCCATGAATTCATTTCCGAAAAGATAAATTTGTCGCTATTGACTGAAGAATATCGGTTATGAATGATGGACTAATAAAAATTCATTTTCCATCTGTTATAAGAAAGAATGTGATTCTTTTGACATTTAGTTGAATTTCTTATTCTACCATACACGAACCCATTTTTAATAAATTTTGTAAAATCTTGCAACTCAAGCCATGGTCAAATGCTAATTGGCATTTAATACTAGGCCACAAACTTAATGACTAATATAAAACAATCATTTTTACAGAAAATGTATTTCCTCGGAAGTTAAAAGGCAGCGTTTGTCTGCCACCAGCGTGTTTTTTAAATGGTGACGTGGCTTCACTCAAGAAAATGAATGATGCCAAGTTTAACAAATTGATATTTTCCTCATACAATTAGTTTTGAAGAACAATTAATAAATATAAAATAAACAATGGAATTTACTAAAAAAATGTTTTTTGTTACAAATACAATCTACCCAAGAAAATTTGCAGACCACCTATAGATTGGAAAACACTGATGTAGTGAATTCCAGATTACTGAAGTTCCTTCCATTTGCATTGTAGGGGTGAAGTATATGTTACTAAGTACCAGTTAACACAGACTTCAAGCAGTAGTTCAAGTGCATATATTCAGGAAAACCACCATCGGGTATCGAATTCCATAAAACTGAAAATGTTGACGTAAACATTGGCTTATTCCGAGTTTATTTGAATATTTCATGAGAAGCTGTAGCGATATCACAACGTCCGATATCCCACGTCAATTTGTTTTGTGAATACATTAATGTTTGATGACACACTGTTTGGACATCGATATGAGAAAATATCACAGCAGTAAAATCAAAGTGTAGCGACTTAGCGTATGTCACATTTTAAGGTTTTGTGAAAATTAATTTTTAGAATTAATGAGTGCCCTAAACACTTAAGAGTTATTACGGTGGTCACAAAGCATCATAGGAACAGGGCCCCAAAGTCTGTGTTGAGGAAGCACTCATCTTATGTATTTTACCCCATTTTGAGTATCAGCTGCTTTGCTTTCAAACTCGTCTATCAATACTCTTTCCACTTTTACTCCCGGATATTGCCTCCACCAATATGAATATAAAAAATCTCACATCTAATTAGCCACAATATATACAATACTAAGAACCCAACTCTAATTCAATGAAAATGGATTCGCCCAGACCACCATGCAGTATGTGATTAGAATTATGTACAAATATGGTTCTGTGGTTGTTTGGGAGTGTTTCATTGAAATTTTATATCGAATGTTATGCTTCATATGTGGCAGTAGATGGGATGCGCTTACCGGTAGTTCTTATTTGGCCCTTAAATGATTGTCTTGTATACTTCTTTCGTTGTTTTTTGGGAATCTAGTGTTTTAACAATCGTTTTATTGGTTTTATACAGAAATTCGTTTGAAATGATTTTCTTCATATATGTAGGCAGTAGTGGATAGGTGCCTTATACAGGGTGACCAGGGGCAGATCCCGGGGGATGGGAACCCCCCTCCCTCTTCAAAATGTAAAAAAAAAAATTTACACAATACCAAGAACCCATGCTCTTATTCATTGGGAATGGATTCTCCCAGACCATCATGCAGCCTGTGGTTGAAATTATTTACAAATATGATTCTGTGGTTGTTTGGGAGGGTTTTATTGAAAAAAATAATAATTCTTTATGTAGTGCTACGTAGATGCTATGTGTATTTCATCTTCGGTCCTTATATGATTGTTTTATATATTTTCTACACTGTTTCTAAGAATCTATCTAGAGGTCGTAGAGGTCTGTTTTCTATTTAGTATGCAGATCAAATGAAGATGTATTAATCATACAATGAGACTCTAATAATTTTCCAAATTTATGTGTACTCCTGAAGTATGTGAACCAAGATGGTGGACATCGGAACGTTGTATGTGTATCAGGTTAGGGTTAGGTCATAATTTCAGGTACAAATACTACGGGAGACACTTGGCTAGTCCCCGAACTCGTAATAGAACTAAAATAAGAGAAATTGGAATGAAATTATGGCCCAACCCTAATCTGGTACGCATGCTATGTTCAGGTGTCCGCCATCTTGGTCCACATACTACGGGAGCGCCAATTTATGTTATGAAATGAAACTATTTCAAGTTGGTTCCGATATCAGTCTCTATTTTTCGTCTGATCATTAGTTACTAAACTCTCAAAATAACGATTTAAAAAAAAATAATTATTATACATTATTCCTAAAATTAGGAATTTTAAATTAGTAATTTAAAATTCAATTCACTGCAGACAACCCTACATATATGATAATTCCATCTCAGATGGTAATTTTGTGTTAAAAATATATCTATTGTGCATAAGGTAATTAGGCATCTGTACGTCAATAACTCGTTAGGATAATCAATCATAACGCAAAGAAATATAGACGTTGCGGCATATGGCTCGTATCCTCTGCTTTAATAATAGATTGCTAATTAAGGGGAAATATGTCAGTGTATGCATTGTGGATAATTTACATTTGGGAATAATATTTTAGAATATTGTATGTCTAATTTATTCTGAAATAATCCGAGCTCAAATATTAGGGTTTGGATAATCTGAAATCTGTAATTATGTCTGGAATAATTTTTTTGAATGCATATTAAACATTTTCCAAATTGAGTTTTGAATAACGAACTGCTGATTAGGGGGGAATAATTTACGCTCTTTATGTTAGAGCAAGATGACTCTCGATTACCTCTGAGTGAGTGCCCAGAACTCAGCTCAGAGATGAGTCTTGTTTACTCCTGAGCTATTGTACATAACTTTGCTAAGAGATGACTCTCGTTTATTTCAGAGTGTTAGCTCAAAGATGAGTAGCTTTTACTTCTGAGTTATTGCACAAACTTCGCTCATAAATAAATCATCTTTATTTTTGAGTTAACTTCAAGAACATTCTCAAATAAAAATTAAATGGTTTATATCATTCCTTTTTTTCAGTGAATTTCATTCCCCACGCAGACATGGAGCGATCTCACCATATGCTCGTGTTTGGATGTCACGACCTTTCGTTTGACAGAACTGGGAAGTAAGTGATTGGTATAAACCAGTATATATAGTCCAGTTTTTGGGTACTTTCATAGTGTATGTACCAGGTTAGGGCTAGGCCATAATTTTATTCCGATTTTCCTTATTTTAGTTTTATTACGAGTTCAGAGACTGTCTGTGTTAGCAAAGTGAATATACCCCTGCCCATATATTTCAGTCCCTTTACACAACTTGATGTAAGGTGAACAAAATTAGTTACCTCCATATTAGTGCACATACTACTGGAGCGCCACAATTTTTCTTCCGCCTTAAATCTTGTTATTGCCTCTGTAGCCGCAGTTGTTTACATTTTTTTGCTGGTTGTGTAAAATTTTGTTATTTTTCTGCATACTAACCCGTTTGGCACCCCAAAATCAAAGGTCATTTTTCTGTTACGCAAAATCACGTTGATTATGTTTTTTTTTTTTTTTGCCATATGATTAAGTCGTCTTAGCGGCTTTCTCCTCCCCGGGATGAATATGTAAATCCTGGGGGTTTTCTTGGCATTCTTTGTGTCGTACCTCATGTTCCCTGTTTTTCATTTTTCAGAAATCAATGTTATGAGCCATGTAAGAACAAACAAACCTTGTTTGCTTGGGCCAGGAACGCTCCACAGTTAAAAATGCCTAAAGATGTCGGATACAGGTATTTCACAAGGCTTTTTCACATTTCCACTACACTTAAGAGTGGTGGCCTAGTGCTTAAGACAGGGTGGTCCAACTCAGGCCCACGGGCCACATGTGGCCCGCCACTTCATTATCTGTGGCCCGCGTCGCATTCGGAGAGGAATCAAAAAATCACATTTTGTGTTGTTTCGTCAAAAATTAACCAAAAAATCTTTTGACATATTGTTGCATCACTAATGTCACTGAATTGACTAGTGTTATGGCTTGCTGAGGCAACTAGCGAAGTTAAACAAGCAAGTTCTTGGCACTATTGTGGCCCGCGAACAATGCAAAAGTAATTATGTGCCCGCGGAGCTGCCAATCTTGGACCACCCTGGTTTAAGGCATTAGACTTGATTGTGTTGGCATTGCAGATTTCACATCTTGGATTCAAATCCCATTCTCCTCCTTACCCAAGGGTTCTCCACCTATTCCCTCATTTGCCACTTGAAATATTTAAAGTGAAGTTTAACACCTAGCAGTGTAGACCTGTGAAACATTTATCGTTGGTAGGCCATTTAACCAACATCAGACATCTAGTCACATTACACAAGCCTGTGAGAAAGATTCTTATTTACAAAGTCCGACAATAAATTCATTAAAATATTAACAAAAAAACAGATTGTTACTTGCAGATTAATGTTATTATTAATGACTCAGATGTATTTATTACTTCTTTAGACAGTTACAAAATTAGCCAAGTCAGTATTTCGTTAAGTAAACGAATAGCTCGTAGGGACCCTATGTTTATCCCACGAGCCCTGGGGTTTAGTATGGAGCACTTTGAGAACATATATATGGTATGTCCCCCCCCCTCACCCCCTTCCTGACTTTAATTAATGTTAATATAATTATGCTTCTCTCAATCAGCATTGGCCGTAACTCAGGAATCCGATATATTGCCGTACAAATGCATTTTGCGAAGGCTTTCGACGAAGGAACTTGCTCCGGCGTGACTATGGACATCACAACAACTCCGTGAGTACTTTTGACTCAAATTGCAGTACAATCTGACGAAATAAATTAGACAGCTTCGCAATTCTTAGTTTATTAAATTTCTTCGAAGGTTTTAAAAACTTCAGTAACTTTTCTTTTCTGACTAATACTTTAATAACTTCTATTCTCACCGAAAGTTCAGATTTTTTATCCTGGGATAATTCCAAGTTTTGAAAATTGTTAAATTGTTTAGTTTTTTATAAACGACATATTAAAATAATCTTATTTAGACTTCACCTCACTTTAGCAAACTTTCTTTGGTTATTCTAGGCAAAAATATTACGCTGGAATATTTCTCCTTGGAGCGTACGACATTCAGCTACCCCCACATTCTACTAATGTTGGGTCGAGCGTTGCGTGCGAAAATGAAATTGAAAATCCACTCCATGTGTTCGCGTTCAGGACGCATGCTCATATGCTTGGTAAGTCTATAGGCAAGAAGGATGATATTTTTTGAGAAATTCCGTTTTTTCGACTAATAATTATCCCGTCCAATAAACCGAGACTAACGTTTAACTTTCAAAATGAGAGTTTATCTGTAGCACCGTCTGGTAAGCCGATGCAGAAAAATATTGTTACTTTTCTTTCTTTTTGTACCATTTACTCTTTTTTGTCATTTAAGCCCTAATGTGCTTCTTTTTTGACTATTGTCTCTAATAAACCGACCCTAGGAACTCTGAAAATGAGGCCTTTTTCCAATACTGTTTGGTGATCCGATGCAGAAAAATTATGTTACTTTTTTTCTCTTTTTTATCGTCTAATTTTTTATCAGTTATGCACCAATGTGCTGTCTTTTTTTGACTATTGTCTCTAATAATCTGACCCTAGAAAAAATAAAAATATCCAAGCCACCTAATAAGCCAACCCCGACTTGCACACAACACTAGAATCCATAAAAGTTTGGGTACTCCCCTAATGTGTGTACCAGGTTAGGGTTAGGCCTTAATTTTATTTCAATTTTCCTTATTTAAGTTCGATTACGACTACTATTTGTGTTAGCCAAGTGAATATATCCCCTGCCCTGGCCATAGATTTCAGTCCCTTTACACAACTTGATATAAATACTTAGACGAACAAAATTAGTTACCTCCATATTGGTACACATACTTTACACAACTTGATGTGAAATAAAGTAAAAATATTGATACACACAGTTCTGTAGCGTCATTTTTTGTGGCTCAAATCTATTATAAACGGTTTCAATCTATATTTTCATAATTTGTTTTTTCATTTTCAGCAAATGTCATCACTGGTTATCGTCTCCGAAGTGGAAAATACAAAATGATCGGAAAAGGAAATCCAAAGTGGCCGCAGTCATTTTATCCTCGAGTGGGGGGAGAATTGGAGTTAAAAAAAGGAGATGTACTTGCAGCTCAATGTGATTATAATAATACAAGAGATGAATCGATTCATGCAGGGTGAGCCTATTGTTAATTTGATTGGCTGGTTTTAGGGGCGTGTTGGAGGTACTTGCCTTAGTACAACACCACAAAATTTATGCGAAAAAATAATAACACACTTATTGTGAGAGAGGATTATTTCCGAGGGATTTTTGAGGTGAAATTTTCCAAGGGAGTAATTTTTAGGAGTGGGAATTCTGGGGGTTCAATAGGTCAGACTTTCGGTGCTCCAAAAGTGTGTATACCAATATGGAGGTAACTTATTTTGTTCGCCTACTTCACATCAAGTTGTGTAAAGGGACTGAAACCTATGGACAGGGGGTATATTCACCTAATAACATGGACAGTCCCCGAACTCGTAATAGAACTAAAATAAGGAAAATCTGAATAAAATTAAGTCTCAGCACTTCCCTGGTATACACACTACGAGAGTACCAGACTTTGTGACGGGGGGGAATTTTCCAATTAATCCAACATTAAAACTGATTTTTTTTGTTCCCCCTTTTAATAACACCATCGTTTTTTTTAAATCTTAATAATTTTATCACAGACCGTCAGGATCAGATGAAATGTGTAACTTATATCTGATGTTTTACACTTCGGATAAAAAATCTTTGAAAAGTACTTTGGAATGTTGGGGATTGGATTATGGCTTGACAGAGGGAGATTTGCACTTTCCAAAAGATGTGAAAGACTTGGCTCCTTATCCTGGTTATGCTGGTGAAGGTAAGGCAGTAGTTCCCAGAATTTTGGATATAATGTTCTCTCATCTTTACTTTTTACTTATCGATCTTAAGATCGGTAAGTATATTGATAGGTATTTGTCTGTATGTATGTATGTCTGTCTGTGTGTGTGTCTGTTAGATGAACGCGATATCTCGCAAATGCGAGATTGAATCTGCTCCAAATTTTGCATGTGCATACATCATATCTCGGACCAGAAGCCTATTGATTTTGGGTTGATTATGTCGTATATTTAGCGAGTTATTAATTAATTAGTGATGGGACATGCGGTGTCACTATAGAGTCATGAATAGAAACCACAGTTTCAATCGATAAGTCTTCGGTCTCCGACCGATATTCTCGTTTTTACCTTATCTTATAAATTTTGGTCCGCATTCTCAGTTTTGGGTTTATTGCCCTGTGTAGAGAAATCCTGCTATATCAGCTATATTCCTATCCTAAAAATTTACAAGTAACTCCATCATGTGAAATTTACTTTATCCTTACTGTCGCCTGATACCTTCGCTTGGCTTCCTCGATTTAAACCATTTTTCACAAAAATGTATCATACTTTGTCGCTGCAGCTAAATTTTAATTCTAGAAGTTTACTTTCATTATGTAACATTCACTTTATCTTAGTTTTTTCTCACAGTGTTGACTTGTATTCTTGATTTGAATCCATTTCACAAAATTGTTACTTATCGATTTTAATCGGTAAGTATGTTGATAGGTATTTGTCTATCTGTCTGTTTGTCTGTTAGATTTACGCGATATCTCACGAAAGCGAGGTTGAATCTGCTCCAGATTTTGCATGTGCATTCATCTTATCTCGGACCAGAAGCCTATTAATTTTGGGCGAATTATGTCGTATAATTAGCGAGGTATTAATTAGTGATGGGACACAAGGTGTCACTATGAAGTAAGAGCGCTGTTTTGGGGGATCCCCTAACTTTCGATCGATAAGTCTTTGGTCTCTAACCGATATTGTCGTTTCATTTTTCTCCATACAGATTCAAAACAAGCGATAGCTGAAGGGCAAGCTGTTATCCCTCCGATACCAGAAGAACACATGCACTCACATATGCACAGCCATGATGACGGAGAAAAAGGTTGGTTCTTGGGTACTTCCGTAGTATGTGTACCAGGTTAGGTTAGGCCATAATTTTGTTCCATTTTTCCTTGAGTTCGGGGACTGTCTGTGTTAGCCAAGTGAGTATACCCCCTGCCCATAGGTTTCAATCTCTTTACACAACTTAATGTAAAATAGGCGAACAAAATTAGTCACCTTCACTTGGTACATAACTTCTGGAGCGCCGGTTTTGTTCATATATGATATCATAAGGAATGGATTTTATTTTTCAATTATTTATTTTTCACTGATTCTTTGATTTCATCATGGATTTTTTAAAATGGAACATTCTCTTTTTAGATGAAGATGAGATTGAAAAGAAAGATGAATTTCAGGAAATTCAGCATTCAGAGGAACCGGGAAGAGAAGGAACAATGTCAGATGCTGAAGTGAATGAAAGTGAGTGAATTTTTTTATACGACACCTTTTAGCTTTGATCAAGGCTTCATAGAGGCAGGCATCGATATTTAGATAGCTATTAATTTTTTGATAGACCGGACGGAACCTTGTAGGTGCGACACCAAGATTTATGCTGGATTTTACAATTTTTCCCACAAAGTTGGCAAATTTGAATGTTGTTTAAATTTGTTGTGTTTAATCAGTAATTGTTCAAGTATTTTCACTTCGTTTAATATATCTGTGAGGGCCAAAGCAATATATGGTATCAATAAATTTCCTTTGTAACTTTGGGGCTCCCGAGGTATGCGAACCAAGATGGCGGACATCGGAATGTAACATGTGTGCTAGGTTAGGGTTAGGCCATAATTTTAGGTATAAATACTACGGGAGGCTCTTGGCTAGTCTTTGAACTGATAATAGGACTAAAATAAGGAAAATTGGAAAAAATTTATCGCCTAACCCTAACCTGTTACCCATGTTACGTTCCGATGTCCGCCATCTTGGTTCGCATACTTCGGGAGCACCGTAACTTTAATAAAATTAAGACTTTATGGACACATTTCATTGTATCAGGGGTTGCTTATTATATTCATAACCAATAACCAGTGATCAATTTTTCTGTTTATATTCCAGAATTAGAGCATTTATCAGATCTATTGAATGAAACTGGATCGGAATCTTTGTCAAGAAGTCATGGAATGCCAGAGTTCCAAGGTAGGACTTTTATCCATTAAATTGGTTTTAGAAGCCAATTTCCCTTTGACCAAGGTACTTCCATTGAACGCTTATTGGGTGTCTGTAAGTTTTGTAGGCTCTGTGAGTTGTTTGAGTAGTGTGGATATATGCCATGATTTGAACGTTTGTGAGATAAGTTGAATAGCAGAAGGGTCATTGAATTTCTTGCATTTATCTCGGTGTGAGACTAAGCGCACCTCTGCACCTCTGATTTCCCTGCGTGGGTTCGCAGGTTCGAATCATATGTGTTTTTTTTTTTATTCATTGCCGCCATAGCTGTTGGACGGTTACGACTTCCTCCAACTTGAGGGATGATGGTGGAGGAAATCGTAACTGCCCATGATTCGAAAATAAATGACTGGGTAACTAATCTGATATCTAACCTGGGCAGGTAGCCGAACGAGAGGCAGTTCACCATATGATTATGACTCTAATCAGCTTTCTTTTCCCCCCGTGATAAATATATAAATCCTATCCCATCTTCTGTAGTAATTTTTCATTGCCATTGTTGGAAAGCCAGATACTACATTATTTGACTTCAAGCTGCTTGAAATGTATATGACCGAATTCTTCCTCATTTTTAGGCTTATCAGCAGATCTCAGCTTTCCTCTCCTTCAGCAAGGCTACTCAATAGGCCAAGTGGGAGGTTTGGTCAGTGATATGGATGGGACTGTGCATGTCTTTCATAGAGCTAACAGAGTGTAAGTTTGCCAGAATAAATCTCTTTTTATTGAATTGGTGCTGATGCTGTCATTCACAGGTCATTGCTCTTTAGTTAGATTTGATTTTATCGTAAAGCTAATCGAGTGTACGTTTGACAGAATAAATTTCTTTTTGTGGGGATATAGTTTATGCTGCCATTCATGGTTCATTGCTCTTCAGTAAAATTTGATTTAATCATAACGACAGAGTCTAAGTGTGGCAGAATAAATAATTTTCCAATAGAATAGTATCGGTGCTGCTAACTTTGTTCAGAGATGAGTCTCCTTTGTTTCGTAGTGAATGCCTGTAAGTTTGTTTCCTTGTTTACTTGTTTTTATCATAAAGCTAACTGAGTGTACGTTTGGCAGAATAAATCTTTTTTTGTGGGAATACAGTCCATGCTGCCATTCACGGTTCATTGCTCTTTGGTTAAATTATTGATACATCTCAGAGATAGTCTTTTAAACTTCTGAGTTAGTGCCTGTAACTTTGCTCAGAGATGAGTTTTCTTCTTTTTAAGTGTGCGCAACTTCGCTCAAAAATTAATCTCCTATATTTCTGAGGGAGTGTGCGTAACCTTGCTTTGCGCAAATTTTCTCAAATAAAAACCTAATTTGTGTTAATTTTTCCACAGATGGGGCCGTTTTTCATTCGATTCTCGAAACCGTTTCACCGAGCCAAACAAACCAATTATGGCAGACACAATCTATCATCTAAGTAAAGACGTCGGCAAAGTTCTCCACTCCTGGGGGAGAGGTCAATTTTTTATGCCGCATGGGATTTCCCTTGACCCCGAAGGCTATTTATGGCTGACGGATGTCGCAATGCATCAGGTTTTGAAATATCCACTAGGTGGTGCTGAGAAACCTATTTTGGTCCTTGGGGAGTTTATGAAACCAGGAAGTGATGCGAGTCATTTCTGTAAACCTACCGATGTTGCCGTGGACGATGATGGTGAGTTTGTTTTCTTTGTAACCGTTGGTTACGCCTTCCCTCTATTTTTTTCTGTAATGCATGGTCACGTCTGCTTATTTGTTACTGCATAATAAACTACAATTTTATATAATTTCAATAGCTCTTAGCAATTTAAAGGCAGCCCCCGTATCTTTCTCGGAATAGGAGTCTTCTCCACATTCGAATTCTGCTCAGAAAAGAATTTTCTCAGAGTGTCTGAATTCTGCTCAGAAATGAGTCTTTGCTTCTGAATGAGCGCAAATATCCTAGCTATGACAAATTTCTTTTAAAAAGTCTTGTTCAGATTATGTCTACATCATTAATATTTGTAAAAAATTGAATTTATTTTTCCCAGGTTTTGTCTACGTGTCTGATGGTTACTGTAACGGCCGTGTTATGAAGTTTTCAAGAGATGGGTCGTTCGTTATGCAGTGGGGAAGAATGGTCACTAGCAAGGATTGTGAGTATTATTAAATGGATTGTCTTTCCAATGTCAGATTTTTCCCATATTTTCATTTCACGTTGACATTAGAAATATTAATATTTTCAATTTAGCGAGATAAAATAATATCTGTTGGCATTCCTGACTTTTTTGTTCTAATTTTCAAACCCTCCGAAATTGCCAAATAATAATAAGTTGCTGCCACCTTTATAAGTACGGAATCTTTCAATTTGGCATTGCGTAACCAATTTTTTACACCATGGATGAGAAAGAATATTAAATATGAATAGCAGGCACTGAATTTTCAATTTCTTGAAATATCCATTTCCTTTGTGGGCAATTCCACAGAATTTCGGGCCTTTAATTGTTACTTATCGATTTAATCGGTAAGTATGTTGACAGGTATTTGTCTGTATGTCTGTTAGATGCACGCGATATCTCACGAAAGCGAGATTGAATCTGCTCCAGATTTTGCATGTGCATTCATCTTATCTCGGACCAGAAGCCTATTGATTTTGGGCGAATTATGTCGTATAATTAGCGAGTTATCAATCAATTATTGATATAGTGATCTAGATTTTTGTAAAGCGAGAGAATTTTGAGACCCGCCGAGTGTGTGTGTGCGATGCGCAAGTTACGAGAGCGGATGAATCGAAACTGCAGTTTCTGTTTTGGGGGATCCCCTAACTATCGATCTATGGGTCTTCGGTTTCCAACCGATATTCTCGTGTGTTTGTTATGAACAATGTTTCCAACTCCTTCCTAAAAATTCCATTATTTTTTAACAGTATTACATCCACCCATTCCACCATACGCATTCTTTGTTGCTCACAACATCATCTTGTGCGGACCGGACAAATCAGAATTATGTGTCGCTGATCGTGAAAATGGGAGGTAAGGTTTTATTTTTACCAGTATTTCATCTGACTCACTTGTCTGTGCTGAAATCACGACTATAGTTTTTTGGAAATAAAATTTCGTTCAAAATATCAATGAAATAAACGTCATAATTCCAAGTTCAATTCCTTCCATGTTGTAGTCTTCCCCAGTGCACACAACCTGACGTGTCCTAGTCTCGACCGAGTATTAAACATGTTTAATGAGCCCTTTTCACTGACAACTTATCGAGTTTTGATTTAATAACTCGTTTTCATATTGGGCTAAATACCTAGTGTAGCATTTTTACCTGCAATGCAAACATTGTTAAGTCCAATACTAACCAGTGGGCAACACTGACATTTCTTTTACAGGATTCAATGCTTCGGCAAGACTGGTGCACTGACTCGAATTATTAAAGATGAGAAAATGGGGAAAAGGGTTTTTGCGATCGCATACAGCACTCTTGAAGGTGATATGTTGTTCTGTTTTTATTTTAAATATCTAATTAAAAATAATTAACAGGAAGTGAAAAAAATTCGAGAACACCACAGAGTTATTATTTCTTATTACTTATCGATTTTAATCGGTAAGTATGTGATAGGTATTTGTCTGTTTGTCTGTTAGATGCACGCGATATCTCACGAAAGCGAGATTGAATCCGCTCCAGATTTTGCATGTGCATTTATCATATGTCGGACCAGAAGCCTATTGATTTTGGATGAATTATGTCGTATAATTAGCGAGTTATTAATTAATTAGTGATGGGACACAAGGTGTCACTGTGGAGTAATAGCGCTGTTTTGGGGATCCCCTAATTTTCGATCGATAAGTCTTCGGTCTCTGACCGATATTTTTTTTGGTATTCATTTTTGCAAATCCCACGACACCAAGGGTCTAATAAATTTGGTATACAATCCCAAAATGTGGAGATCTTGCCCGAAAGCCCGGCCTCTTCCCCCCAAAAAATAGTGGGACCTCCTGAAGTATGCGCACCAAGATGGCGCACAACCTGAACTCAGGTTGTGTACCAGGTTAGGGTTCAGGTTATGCGACATCTTGGTGCGCATACTTCAGGAGCACCAAATAGTGTATCTCAAGTACCAGTGGTAACTCATGCAAATTTCTGAGTGAACGAGTTTAAAAACATTAGCTATCTAAAAAATTGGCTAGTACTCTGTTTTTCTTGCTTATAAAATGGTTCCCGTACATTTGAACACGCGACAATTGTACCTGCATATATTGCACCTATGGAATTTTGTTTCGTTTTGCGGATATTTGAACCCATACTAACCCTAACCCATGGGTTTAGCACTCGCATATAGATTGAATTCGCGGATATACACATGGGTTCAAATGTACGGTCACCCTTCTAAAATACTTATTTTCCCTAGGTGGCGTAATCTACGGAGTTAACGGACCGGACCAATCTGAGGGGGATACAGCTTGGGGATTCACCCTTCATTATGATACAGGAGCGTTCTTGGAGGGTTGGGAGCCGTCTGCGGACTCCTCACTCACAGACCCTCATGATATTACAGCATCACCTAGCGGAGAACTGGTATGTCTTCAATAGTAACTGATTGTTTGGTAATAATATTTTGAAAAACACAATTTTTTTCATATTTTGATGGGAATTTCCCCTCCCTGATCTCCAATAAACACCTAAAATGATTAGAAAACTTCCCTCAGATCTATGTTAGCATGACACAAATATAGAATTAGATTTAGGACTAAACGCAAATATTTCTCATATTTTGATGGGAATTCCTCCTCCCTGATCTGCAAATTACTTCTAAAATGATTAAAATCAGATCTATGTTGGAATCACACAGATATGGAATCAAATTTATACTAAAATTTATACTAAACTGCTTTTTTTTGTATGGGAATTCCCCCTCCCTGATCTCCAAAATACTTCTAAAATGATTTGAAATCTTCTTACAGATCTATGTTGGCGATCTCAGTCACAAGAAAGTTTATAAATTCTACCAGGTACCTTCAGCAGCAAATGATGAACAAAAAGATTCTGGTATCGGCCAAGGAATTGCGTCTCTTTCTCCAATCGATAATAAAAAGGTACGTAGTTTGTAGTGTCTAGATGTGCTTGTATGAGTACGCTGGCGCTGTGGAGAATACTCACTGCTGGACTCTTCGCTGTAGGGTGGTTCACATAACCGCAGGTCAATTAGGGCTTCCTTCACCATCAAGTCCATGAATTTGAAAATAATAGTAATTTTCTGGAGGTTATTTATGTGGGAGAAGATTGCTGGACTCCTTGCCGGTGTTCACGTAACTGCCGATCCCATACTCGACATGGACTGGTATCTGATTGTGGGGCTCCATTTCGCCACATGATTGATTTGCTCCCCAGGAATAAATTTGAAAAATGCTATCCTATCTCCAAAGTATACCTAAATTCTTGATCAAACTAGACATATAAGGTGTCCATAAAGTCAATTGCAAAGGGAATTTATCGACACCATGTATTGTTTTGGCCCTCACAGATGTATTAAATGAAGTAAAAATACTTGAATAATTACTGATTTAAAAACAACAAACCTGGTTAAGATATATCGAGAACTGACTTCATAACAAAATTGAAATTGTAAATTGACTTTATGGACACACTGTATAATGACAATTAGACCAGAGGTAGCTGCCCTGATTAGAAGCAAAAACAAAGACCAAATCAAAAAATCATGTGACATTGCTTTGAGCAAATCCATATGCAGACCAGCGAAACAAGTTTTTATGTTGGTTCAATCTGTCTGGTACACGCAAGTAATTCCAATCCGTTTGCATTGCAAAGTCTATACCAGAGTTCAATTTTTTATCTATGTCTATGACGCTACAATGCCTTAACAGCTGGCTAACCAAAACCTCTCTCATGGAATCTTCATCTCACTATTTCTATTATATTTCTTAATTATATGATTTTGATTTAGAACGAGCTTTCCAACTTAGAAGAAACAGTGGAAAAGAAAGGAAAGGAATCAGGGATGGAAATGGAGGAAAAGTCTGAAAATTCTCTGAATATGAATGAAAAAGAACTGGACAAGGAAATGAATGAAAACTATTCTGATGGAAATGTAAGGAATTTTTGCAAACTCATTGCCCATTTACATAACCAAAGTACCCCCCCCCCCCCCCCCCCCCCGATACATCAACAAGAATGAGCCTTTAAGTACACCGAGCAGGTGAATACTACTTTCACGGCTGGTTGGTCATGATCAGTCATCTGGGAAAATGCTGGTTGCCAGAAATACAACAAAGATAACAGTTACCAGTTTTGTCTGTTGTTTATCTTTTTACATCGACCTTTGACCCAGGAAGTTTCTTCCTAAGTCTTGTCCGATAACATTTGCCATTAAACACAACTTCTACTGTGGATACCGCTAATATACTCGCCTGTTTGACGAATCATCAATCGTTTAATTCAAGAATTTAATTCATTGTTGCGTGGTTTGAGTCTTTTTAAAAACTATTTTTCACAAGTGACGTGTCTTATTCATATAGTTTCTAAAGTTTTTGGCTTAACATTGGTATCATTGCTTATAGACAAGTCCTTTACTTGTGAGTGAGTGCATATAACTTTACTCAGAGATGAGTCTCTTTTACTTCTGAATGAGTGCATATAACTTTGCTCAGAGATGAGTCGTGTTTACTTCTGAGTGAGTGCATATACTGTCATAACTTTGTTCAGAGATGAGTCTCATTTACTTCGAGTGAGTGCATATACTGTCATAACTTTGTTCAGAGATGAGTCTCTTTTACTTCTGAGTGAGTGCATATAACTTTGCTCAGAGATGAGTCGTGTTTACTTCTGAGTGAGTGCCCATACTGTCATAACTTTGCTCAGAGATGAGTCTCATTGCTTTGTGACATTTTATTCAAACAAATTTTTTTTTTAAAAAAAAAACAACATTTTCCGCATTCCAGGTGAATTCATCAAAAGGAGCCACAATCATCATTGTCATCCTGGTTGTATTACCAACTGTTTCTCTGCTGATTGCATTTGCTTGTATCAAAGTTCGAGCAAAGAGACTCAAGGAATATGAAAGTAAGTGGACGGGTGGGGTTTTGGTTATCGGACATTAACAACTAGCAGGGTGGAAAAATGGGTTTTTGAGGGTCTAAAAAGCAGTTCAAGCAATGGAAAATTGCCTTGTCTGATACAAAAAATGCTTTTTTTTACAAAGGGAGTTGTGACCCTTGAACCTCTCCCCCGGAACTGCAGTTTTTTTGCAAAAATTACCCTTTTTGAATCTAAACACACTATATCCAGGCTTAGTGATATTGACCTTGCTCAAAGCGAAATTTGAATCGGAATAAACAATCTTAATTGTTTTTTCACAGGTCTTCTCTCTAATAACGGAAAGTCAAGCAGCAAATTAAATCTTGGAAAGTTTCTGAATCCGACTGAACGCAAAGGATTCACAAGGTGAGTGCTAAAAAACTTGACCTGACTGGATATTGTTGAGTTACTTGTCACTTTGGTCACTCTAAAGCAGTGGTTCTCAAACTTTTTGAGTCACGTTCCGTTTCCAGATTTCGTCAAGTTTGCGCCCGCCTCAAATGAAAGATAGGAAAGTTAACGTATTCTTTATTCAAAAAACATGTTGAAATTATGTGGACAGTTTAACCACTGCTCTAAAGGAAAGTTCTAAAAATTCTTCTGATTTTCCAGAGTTCGTTCTGAAGCCACAGACGACGAAGACGATGAGGATGACGTCGAAGTTTATTCGAAAAAGGTTCGAACTTTTATGTTTTCTGTGTGGAATAATGTTGTTTGTGTGACACTTCCCGGAGTATGTGTACTAAGATGGCGCACAACCTGAACATAGTATGTGTACCAGGTTAGATTATCAGGTTGTGCGTCATCTTGGTACACATACATCCGGAGCGCCGACACTTGAAATTGGCTGTGCACTTTTGAAGCGATTGTGTGTTTGCTTGCGAACTAATGTTGGCCACTAGGGGTGATCAAAAGATAGAAAATCCATCTTGGCGGACATCGGAACGTAACATGGGTACAGGTTAGGGTTAGGCGATAATTTTTTTTCAATTTTTCTTATTTTAGTCCTATTATCAGTTCGAAGACTAGCCAAGAGCCTCCCGTAGTATTTATACCTAAAATTATGGCCTAACCCTAACCTAATATACATATTACATTCCGATGTCTGCCATCTTGGTTCGCATACTTCGGGAGCCCCGACTTGCATGGTATTGTGTGACACTTGAAAACTCAGCTAAGTACTTTTTGATTATGGAGTGTCTACCACGATTCCGGGTAACTAGGGTTTGCTCTAAAACATTGCTTTTCAAAATTTTTAGATCGCATCCCCTTTTGTCTCGTGCCCCACTTCAAAAATAACTAGCTAGCAATAAGCTACAAATAACAGATGGTAATGTGAAAGTATGTTTTATTCAAAAAACAGGTTGAAAATATGTGGATGGAAGGGAACGTAAATAATGGAATAAATGTGAAAATAAATATCAAATGTGATAAAAAAAATTATTTTGAATTAGCTTCATGCCCCCTCAAAATTTTTTCTACGCCTCCCTTGTGGGGCGCGTCCCACTATTTGAGGAACTCTAAACAAAAGTTTTAATATAGCTGATTGTTATGCATGATATTGTTTGTGGTATTTGATGGGTTTTTGTGTGCCAATGTCGCCAAACTAAGAAAACACACAATATGATTTTTGATATTTTCACTCAAATTCTGGTTGTTTGGTATATAAATCAAAGGAGACCTGTGACTTAGGCAACATTTATCCTGAGTCAGAAAACTTGAAATAACTAAACAAAATAAAACTCAATAAAAATAGTTTTTACATTTTTGAATGCTCATTGAGTCACTCCTGTAATTATATTTGCATATATTGCACATTAGTATATTGATTGTAGCTCACAAGTCTGGATGTATTTTGTGTAGATCTCAATGGCAATGTATTGTGCGGCACTTTCGTAGCTTCAAAGTGTGAAGTTGGTGTGCTATCGCCTAATCAAAAATTAGGATATGATTGGATGATTGTTGTCATTTGCATGGTATCGTATGTAGTATTACATCATTGTATGTAGTATTACATCATCGTATGTAGTATTACATCATTGTTGCAGCGTTCAGGGATATTTATACCTGACTTCGGACATAACGAATAACTCCCAAGCTATTCAATAGCATATAGGGCTTGGCATTTTCGAATACCGGTACCTGAGGATTTCAGAATCAAATCAAATATTATTTTCTAATCGAATCTCGAATAATTTGGAGTCAATGGGCGATATATAATTATATCCTACTTTTTTATTGTTATTGGTCCTGTCAACAAATGTATTACTGAAAACATGGATAAATCACTAAGACATATTACGAAGCGTTCACACGCAATGAAAAACATTTATTCATCAATAATTCACAACAGAAAATAGTGGTATGTCAAATTTGTATTGAAAAAATATGACTCCAAAAAAAGGGGGGGGGGGAATTCACCTCGACCATTGATGGAAAGAAAAAAACAAGATGGAGGCAATTCGAAATTTTGCTCTGAACCAATTCGAGTAATTTATATTCGAATATTCGATTCGGAGTGCCCAGCCTTAATAGCAACTATAACTTTTGAATCTGACTGGAGATCTGAATTCGAAATAGACAAATTTGGGTTCTTAAGCTTTCTTAGCCAATGTAAAGATTTATTTAATATCGAAAACTTTTGAAAAATTTGAATATTTTATATTACTCTGGCATCTGATGGTACTCTCGTAGTTTGTGAACCAAAATGGTGGACACCGGAACGTAGTATGTGTGCCAGGTTAGGGTTAGGCCATAATTTCAGGTACAAATACTACGGGAGTCACTTAGCTTGTCCCCAAACTCGTAATAGAACTAAAATAACGGTAATTGAAATTTAATTATGGCCTGACTCTAACCTGGTACACATACTACGTTTCGATGTCCGCCATCTTGGTTCACAAACTACAGGAGCGCCCATCTGACCTGTGAAATCAGAATGTTTTTTTTTCTCAAATGGGACGTGAATTATCCCTATAATCAAGATTTTAAAACGCCATAGTTCCTCTGGGTAGGATTAAGTTCAAACTGTGGAGTTGTGAAAAGTTTTAAACAAATCACATCAACTTTGCTGTGTTGTGTGTTATTGGTGTTTTTATTTGTCTGGGCACAAATTTTATTGTGCAATTAATCGTGTTTATTTATTCAACAGCAAAATCAAGAAAAAATAAATTTTAACCAAAAAACTTCCAAAAGTCCTTCACTTAGGCTAATAGCTGTATAATACAGCACATTCTCACCTTTCTCGCTCCAAACACGGCCTTATAAAAGCACCCACTGATATGTGGAAAGCTATTGTTCCAAAACAAACAGGAATGTTGCTTAATCACTGATATGTGAAAAGCTATTATTTCTAAACAAACATTAATGTTGCTTAATAAATATCCCGTTTGCTCTCTTTCTGTTCAAATCAAACAAATTTGGAAGTTGTGCGTTCTCTTACAGATATATCACCCTGGGAAACCCAAGCGTCCAGTTTATTTTTAAAGGAGAAATTTACACAACGTATGATTGTTGTTGCATGTTTCAGTGTGATATCACAGTGTTGTCATTCAAATATTTGTTATGTCATAATTAGAATGATAATTTCTTATTATTCTATCATAATTTTATTCATTGTGATGTGATAATAAGTTTTATAATTATGACTATTAATCTTATTATTCTGTCATAAACTATTGTTTGTGATGTAATAATCCATGTATTATTCTGCAACTTACCCCAATTTTTCTCTCACAACTTCATTTCTTTTTTTCTTATTTTAATTTCTGTTTCTATCAAAACACACTACTACATACATACACGTGTGTGCTTTCACTGTAGCGGAAACCAGTACACACATAAAATGGTGCACATATGAGGATGCACATGCAAGTTATTTTTTGTATTCTACAAATTACTAATACTCGAATTATTGGTTTTGAACCTTTTTGATGGAGTGGAACCTCAATCAAACATTTCCGGAGTTGGAGAAATCCCTGCGGAATAGTTTAAAGGAGAATTGTCTAAATACGTAGAAAGCAAACCTAATACTGGCAAAACGAAATGATCTTTGTGAAGTGTAGCAATAATCGTTTTTCGGTAATTCATACACATGCGAAAGTATGTCCTTGCACATTAATTTCATAAAATCGAGTATTACTCATGCAATAAATGCCACAGCTCGTTTCTCCCCGATGCAGACATTGAAATAAATATATATATATAAGCTACAGCCTTCTTTTCCATGATAAAAATAAAATTTTTGGCCGTTTAAATAAAAAAGGTTTGCCATCCCTGGTATAAACTATGAATATATAAAGATGCCAACTTAACATTTGAATTTATTCAAATAATATTCACATATTAATATAGACTCTACGAATTGAATAGAAACTTGTAGAAAATCTGGACTGTACTGATCGAATCTTGTTTGAAAACAACTGCATAACATAAAACTTTTCCTCAACTCTTTTGCTCTTTTCTGCATGTCGCTTCTGCTAGTTAGTTTTTAATTTCAAATGCTCCAAATAATTCTTATTGCTGACCTCTCTTGCTTTGTGCAAATTCTTTTTTTTGACATTTATTCTAGGCATTCATGTAATTTCTTCCCTTTTTCAGGAGGAAACTGAACCTTCGGCTGGAAATAAATGAAAGAATATACAAGTTCAGTGTTCAGATTTATACTTTTGTGATTTTTTTGTTTTCGTCGTCAAATTGTAGACTATCAAAGTGGTTTGTTGGTTGCTATGGGAGCGCACTCCATGTGTGGATTCATACTTTTTCCCGTTATCCGGGGGGGAGGGGGGATAGCAAATATGACACACGATCTGATACAAAATTTTCAACAAATGTCTCACCGAGGGTTTCTTAAACTCGATCTGTCCAGACCAGTGTTTCTCACTTTAATAATTAGATTGAGACATACCACTCAAGCAGCCATTGTTATGCAACAGTCCCGCTTTACATTCTGTTTGGCGTCAACCGCTCAATTTTTTGACAACACATCCATAACATGTCCCACGTGTTAAAAATTTTAAATATTGTTTTTCTTATACGTTAGTTATTTGTCATTCTGTCACCGCAACGACAGCATCATCATTTATTGCTACTGAAATCAAAATTTATCTGTATTGACCCAAATGAACTAAATTTACGAATAGCTTTAACAATTTTTAATATGTTTGCGGGCCATCTTAATATGTTTCTGTGGCGCAGCAATGGGCCATGGCCCACTAGTTGAGAACCCATGCTCTAAACTAGGGGTCGGCAACCTTTTTTCGCTCGCAGGCCAAAATAAGGGTTGCAAGTCATTAGCGGGCCGCACATATTTTTAGAAAGTTGAAAACCGAACAACTGATACCTTTCATAATAAAAATCAAGCAGTGACATTGCATTGCATCTCAAAAAATTCCATCTGAATATTTTCGGCGTCATTGAACCCTTTGCACTTAGCATCAACTTTTCTGCGTTTTGTTCCCATTTGTCAAATTATAATTAAATTATACGCTAATTAAACGAGTAATTGTGAATTTTATCCTCGTTAGATTATGATATAATTTAGTCTAAACGCGTCTCGCAATAATTTCTGGTACGTAAAAAATATTATCGTCAAAACAGCTGTTTTGTTACTATAATTCAATGAATCGTCGAGGGCCGGATTGTATTACTCCGCGGGCCGTAGGTTGCCGACCCCTGCTCTAAACTTTGGTCAACGCTCAAATCAACCGGCGATATTGTTGTACAAAACTCGCAGTTTTTGACATCCCAAATTTTACCCAAAGATGAGTCTCCCTCCTTTACTTATTAGTGATCGCATACAACTTTGTACTACGAATGAGTGCATGTGGCTTTCCCTAAAGCAAATTTTTCTGAAAATATTTACTTTTCATAGTATTATGGACTTTCTGAATCAATGCTGCCCAGTTTCAGACGTTCGTTTGCACTATTTTCAAATCCTTCACAATATTAACTGGTGTCTGTGTGTTTCATCACAGTTTTATTTTTTATCTGCATTATTTTATCACATTTTTGCAGTGAAATTGCAATTTTTATGTTTATAAGGTGCAAATTTGAAAGTCTTGGTGTCCACAGTTCTGTCTTATAGAATGAGAAACCTAAAATACAGAATTAGATGTTTGTCCTTCGTAAAATTTGAATCAAAATTAAACTTATAAGATCATAAAATTTATGTTTATAAGCCTTCAAAGGTATTTAAATTGTTTGTAATTTATAATTCTTTCCAAGGACGTCTGTATTACATCATGAATCAGGTGATTTCCATCTGAAATTGCAATTTAAATTTTTGAATAACAGTCACAGCCTAAAATACATTTCAAAATGAATCCTTTTCAAATTTTGAATTCCAATATCATAAAATGGATGTTTAGGAGGTTCACATCCATACAAACAAAAATATAGAATTGATTGGATAATTCAACTGTAAGTTAATGTCAATTTTTGTTGCAAAATTTTAAGTTCATCACAATATAATCATGTGTTTGTGTATTTTATCACAGATTTACTTTTTCCACTTTTTCTTTGTTTAATGTGTTGCAATCATGACGTTGCAGTTTTAAAGTCTTGAACTACTCAAAATAATAGCTGACTCACAATCCACCTTCGTGATTCTACATAATTACGGAGGCTCTTTGTAACCTGATGGTCCAGATTCTCATTTACTTCTGAGTGAGTGCCCATAACTTTGCCCAGAGTTGGTGTATTTTACTTCTGAGTGAGTGCGTGCATTACTCTGCTCAGAGATGAGTCTTCTTTACTTCTGAGTGGGTGCATTACTTTACTCATAGATGAGTCTCCATTACTTCTGAATGAGTACCCGTAACTCTGCTCAGAGATGAGTTTTTTTTACCTCTGAGTGAGTGCTCATGAATTCGTTCAGAGATAAGTCTATTTTACTCCTGAGTGAGTGCATTATTCTGCTCAGAGATGAGTCTCCTTTACTTCTGAATGAGCGCTAATCATTTTTATCAGAGATGAGTCTCTGGAGTGCGTTACTCTGCTCACAAATGAGTCTATTTTATATATATTAAAGGCACTATCATATTTCGATATAGTCCAATTTTAGTGGCCATTGGCATCCAGAGGTCAACCCATAACTTTGCCCAGAGATTAGACCTAAATACACAATTGCTTTTTATTTATAAAATTATTTGCAAGTATTATACTAATTCCTTACTTTTAGCACCATGTGCTCTGCTGGGATAAATATCCTTTCCAAATTTTATAATAACCATTGAAGCATAACTGGACGGAATATTCTCCATGCGAATTCAAATGCACTAGTGCTGCTATTTATTGCTTCCTTGTATTCGAGCGGGTCAATTTTTGTTTCAAAATTTTGCCCATCACAATTACCTTATAGGGTATTTCCCCTCCCTAACTATGTCTCGATATTGCACCAGCATAACTTTATGTAGTTTAAAACTCTTTTGGTATTTCATTGAGCATCGTTAAATCTGCTCTAAGATAAATATACAATTTCATAATTAATTGCAAGTATTTTAACAATTTATTTTTATTTGCACCATGTGCTACCAAGATTTGAAAATCAATAATGTTGCTCCTATTTTTATAGCTTCCATGTTGCAGTATCTACATAGCAGTTCATTTTTTATCAAATTTTCCAAATACATAACCAATTCCACAAATATTCTATATGTTTTAGACAGTTCTTTGTGTCAATTCGAACCATAGCAGAAATCGAAATAAAAATTGCCATAATGGCCCAATAGTGCCCTATTATCTCAACTATAATGTGTCATCTTAAAAAGAAACTTTATAAGTCACCCCCCCCCCCCCCAACTCAGACGAAAATTTAAAACTTATTCAATATTTGTAATATTGCAGTGTCACTTTCATTTCACTTTTTATTGTTGAATTTATTTTTTATTAAATTGTCCAAATACAATCCGCAAATATTCTATATGTTTTAGACACTTCTTTGTGTCAATTCGAACCATAGCAAAATTCGGAATAAAAATTTTCGCAGTAATTATTATGATGCCATAATGCAAAACATGATGTCATAATTGACAAAATGTATAATCAGGTCATTGGCGAGGACATGTCCCAATAGTGCACCTATGGACCTTTCCCCGAGCATCGACTTCCTTGTTTACTTCGTGACATTGGCCAATCAGCAAGATGCAAAAAGTGACGTAACAATGCCCACTTTTCTCACTCAGACAGATTTTCAAGCGTGGTTGTAAACATTACCTCGTTTTCGCGTTTTTCTATTCGTTAGTTTTCAGTTGTGTTTCGGAAACTTAAATAAAAATCAGATAATTCAATGATCACTCTGTCTTCCTAGGAGTTTTAATTTAATTGCAGTAATAAAAGTTAGTTTAGAAATAGCTGCGATAGACTAGCCTGAAATTCTTTACCGGTACTTTTAAAAAACAGATTGTTGTATGCGATGAATCATAATGATGGTTTGAAACACATACCCCATTTTACAGGCGCCAACTCGCAAAAGCACTCTTAAAATAGCCCTGAAAACTTTGCAATGGCAAAGTATAGGAAGAATTTTCCGGGGGTCAAAGGTCGGGGAAAGGTCCATTATCCTATTACCCCTTCCATAATTGAACTTTATAAGCTCTCCCCCCCCCCCCCCCCCACAACTCAGACAAAAAAATAAAAACTTTTCAATATTTGTAATATTGCAGTGTCACTTTCATTTCTCTTTTTATTGTTGAATTTATTTTTGTGGAAATATATTTGTTGCTGATCGTGATTTTTGAGTTTTATTTGGTGAAGGATTTTGGGTTCAAGGGTGGTTTTTCCACATTCACTGTTTGTTGGTTGATGAGATGCTATTCTGCTTTGACGCCACTATTAATGTCACTGCTATCAATGTTAGCTAATCGGGTTATGTCAACTTAGTATGGCTCCGCCATGAGCGGGATTTATTGAGGCATGACTGGCCAGCATAAATTACGCTGTTTTTTACCTTGGTGGGTTCGAATCCTACGGGCACCGGAACACTGTTAAGCAGCATACAGCCCAGTCGTGTGTGACCCTCCACCAGTGGCGTAGCAAGACTCTCGGACATAAGCTAAAACAATGCTTTTTTTTTATTTCGTCGAAAAACATAGCATGTCGCTATAAAAACGCAATGGTAACCTGAAATTTGCCGTTTATTTTGGTTACTTAATTTTTTTTCATACGTTCTTCTGCCCGAGGTTTTTCTTTCGACATTCTGACAGCCTTCGTAATTTTGCCGGTGCGATCAAACCACAAGACGCCGAAAATCGACGACTTCCTGGCATTGTTACGTAACAAAAAGATTTGAGCAGAACTAACATCAACGTTATAAGATGTCCATTACTGGTTTTGCATTGCAGCTTTTGATTTGCGGCTTCAATTTCTAACCGCTCGGGTCCCTTGGCGCTGTGGTCCCTCCCGCGACAGCAGGGGTGGATGCTACGGCACTGCCCTCCACCCACCTTTATAAAGAAAATCTCCATAATTTATATGTCCTTCTGATGAGCAATTACAGAATTTTCAGAATGCTGACTAGAGCCGCTAAGAATTTTGACAATATACGTGCCTTCCTAATAAAATTGGAATGAATCAAGCAATACCTTGGCGGGTTCGAATCCTGCGGGCAGTTGAGTACTCGCGCAATCTAGTAAGTGAAAATCCGTGACATCATATCAAGCTGTCATATTTTGCGTTATAACCCTGGAAATTCTATTGCGGCGTCATATTGGATTGCGTAAATTGATGATGACGTCATAGTAATATTTCCTGGTTTTTAAATTAGAGTATGATGTCATAAATGAATGTATTTTTTCTGATTGAAAATAGCAGTTATAGGCAATATGTATACAATTACCACACAAGTAAATTAATTTTTTCTTTAAAACAATTCAAAGGCGTTGCCGGTTAAAATGACCTCATAATACGCGTTTCTTGTCATCAAACAAGAATGACTCGTGGTTAAGGGACTTCTTGGCAATTGGTCTAGTCATGTTTAAGTCAGGGGTCGGCAACCTTTTGTCTTTCCCGGGCCATATTTAAGAGTTGCAATTCATTGACTGGCCGCACATATTTTTAGAAAGTTGAAAACCGAATGGATGGTACTTTTTATAATAAAAATCAAGCAGTGATACATCTCTCGAATAGAATATAGATTTATTTCCTCATTGCATCTAAAAAAATTCCAACTTTTCTGCGTTTTGCCTAATTATAATTAAATTATAGGCTCATTAAACGAGTAATTGTGAATTTTATCTTTGTTAGATTATAATATAATTTAGTACACACTTGTCTCACAATAAATTCTGTTACGTAAATAATATAATCGTCAAAACATCTATTTTGTTAGTATAATTCAGTGAAGCGTCGCGAGCCGGATTATA